TTTCAGTGCAGGATGTTCGAAAAAATAATTGTCCGGAGTAATCTGTAATTCTTTCCACCTCCTTTATTTCCCATATCACTAGTAGTTGCAACCACTTCGTATCCAGCATCATACAAACGACATATAGCCTCCATTAATATATCTTTTTTCATTGGTTGGTCGAACTTGTAATAAATTGGCTGCTTCCAATTCCCGAATAAATCACGAGCCATAATCACTTGAACTTTTTCACAAGGACCGACCAATTTTTCAATTTTCGAATCAAACTGAACCTCGGGACTTATACCCATTTCATCGTAAGTAAGAACTGTTACTTTCTCGAACGACGTGAGTGTTTTACTTTTTTCTCGCATCATTGTGAGAACGTCAAATAGAAAGCCTTCTCGAATATCAAATTTCTTTAAAGCCCACCTTCTCAATGAAGTGAGCGACGGTAAAGGAAAATTGAGCTTAAGTCGAAAATATCTGTATGCTTTTGGACTAACACTGCGAAATGAAATTGCCGAAGCATAATCATCTTGACCACCGAATCCATTTTCGATTTTCTCTGATGCATCTTATTTGTCCTTCTGTGAAATAACATTGCAATTGTTGTATCATCTTATTTTCAGCTGTCTTTTCAAAATTATGTCGAGATCAGCTGCCACCAGTTTCGCTTGAAGATCATTAATCATTGCTTGCATTTGTTTTTTTTTTCTATTAAATTTTGATTATTTTCATTTTTTTGTACTAATTGCAATTGTAACGTTTGGCACTTTCTTTCAATATCATTCATTTCATCCAAATTATTGCATCTAGATTGTAGATGAAATTTATTGAGAGTTCGATGATATTCCAATTCAGCTTTCAGCAACTTTATTGATGTATCCTCATTGTCTCTCGATTTATGGGTACTATCAGTAGTGTTATTGCAATTCTCCATCATAAATCTGAAAGAACGTAATACGTTTAAAACATTGAAACATGCACTGACAGTTTATCTGTTCTAAGTATATATTAAGCCAGTAGCACATAATGAATATCTTCTTGCTGGATTGCTTGTGTTTTAGTAAATTAATTGCACTACACAGAACACAGAATTTCTAGTAATTTACTAAAACGCAAACATTCCAGCAAGAAGACATGCATTGTGTGCCACTGGCTGTATATATGTAAGCATTTATACATTTTTTTGTTATTAAAGAATAATAAAGAAAACAATAGAAATTAGTGAATTAAATGTGTTCTGTCAGTAAAAATTAAAACATTTTGACAATTGCCAGACATTCTTGTACTAGAGTATATGTAAAGAGTAAATAAGCATACCGTTGTTTACGAGTGTATGAAGGAGTGTTCTCTTCACTATGGTATTCTCCGAGTAAGTTTGTCGATGACCTTTTCAAATTTCTTAATACAGAAATTTTAACCTGTCGTTTATTCATTTGCGAATAAAATGAGCTCCCAATACTGCGATGACTATGCAAATGTTTTATTCTTTGCGATCTGTGTAAAAGTATTAATAGTTAATAGTTTTTAAAAATGTTAAATGGATATTCAGCGCAACATAGCAATGAATTAATCACATTTAAGAAATTTTAAACATACCTTCTTGGAAAAGTGGCATTACATACATTGTCGGGTGCATCAGATGTACTTTGTGGCGTTTCAAAAATTCTCTTTTCAACCCATAATTTTCTACAAAAACATGAAAAGATATTACTATCTGTCGTCTATATTAATTTAATATTATTTTCAAG